TCCCTCTCTGTGAAGATTCACTGTCCCTCTATTCAGTCTGACAGACATTTACCCAACCGCCAGGTCCTCCTTCCTCCATCCCTTCCCTGCACATCTCCCTGGACACTAATCCCATTCCTCAGCCCCCTGAGCTACACAGGCACAAGCCTGGGCACAGTCTCTGACTATGGCTGTTTGCCCCGGGGGTAGGAATCTGCACACCCAGAGTTATCCCACACATCCTGCCTTGTGCACTCACTTGGCAGCTCAAGCTGTGGCAGCATCCCCTGTCCTCCAGCCACTCTCCCTCAGAGGGAACTATGTGCCCCTTCACAGCATCAGAAACGAGTTGGGGCTCTCCTAGAAGATGACCTGGCTGTTCTGGCTGAATTCTGTTCTTAGTTATTCTTTACTCCATCAAAACAATGTTACTTGCAAGGTAATTTCGTGGCTTCCCATCTCAAAAAACCTTTGTGGTCAGAGAGCTCCTGATGCTGGGCAACACCTGATAGGTCCAGACACCCTCTATAATCTGTATTTATGGAAAAACCACTGCTTAAGCTGCTAAAGGGAAATGTAAGAGAATCTACACTACATTTCAAACTCACTGCTAAGATATATGCTGGAGAGCAGCCAGGCCTGGTTGCTCACACTGATAGATGGTGGGGAAAAGGAACACGCGTTAAAATCAGCAAATGGATAAAACTGGGCTAAAGAGAGATGAATACAATGGGGAAAGCTTTCCATTTTTCAAAATCAAAGCTCAGGCTCCCACGCTAAAGGAAGAATTGTGTTCCCAAATAGGAAAATGTTAAAAGAGAGACTGTACTATTTTCAGGAATGTATGATACAAAGCTTCATGTCCACCGTCAGGATAAATCTTATCTATTCTGTACAGCAACATTCAGTTAGCAGAGAAGAGGATTCTATGAAAAGGACAAAGATGGGTGGTGGAAATTCTGAGCCTTTCTTCCTACTGCTCTTAAATTCTTGTCCTCGTTGACATAATTAGCAAAAATGTTCTGAGATATATTTAATTCCTTTTAACAACTTTTAAGATTAACAAACCGTATTTTGGTTTCAGATACTGTGTTGATCAATAAATGCTGCTGATTTAGATTTTTAAAGAGCACTAGCAATTATTTGAGGAACCAAATTTAGATTTCTTTAGTAGAAAAGAAGGTTCCTTTGTTGAGACTATGTAGTATCTGCAAGGTCTTGTGGTAAGTAGTTTTACAATACAGAGATTTTGGCTCTAGAGATTATTGTGCAGAGACTCAGACCATGGAAATTGTAGTTCAGTTGCTGCCTGCCGGCCAACATTGCAGGATCTGGCTATGAACAGGGCATGAGATCAAGCCCTTCTCATTTAATATAGATTAAGAAAGTCTTCTTACTTCTAATCTCACTCCTGCCTCCTGCCCTGCTCTGAAATACTCCTGCTGATTTGCTCTGCTGGGGAAAAAACTTGTCAAGGTCTGTCAGGAAAGATGAGAATATATATCTTTTCTTTTCTTTTAAGATTAATCTTCCAGTTGAATAGAATTGGCAACTTGAGTAAAATTTTGCTACTGGAGTTATTTTGTATTGATTGCATTTTTAAAGATTTTTCTAGCAGGGAGAGGCAGACATTTTGTTATTGCTATGTATTAATCAAAAAGACTGAAAAATACTGCAGGCCCTACTCTGACCCTTGTGGATCAAAAAGGCAGCCGAGGTTTTAAGAATACAAATTATCCCGGATTAAACTCTGGGTTTAGGTGTTAATAATTTAACACTACTACAGTTTGGCCACCTACTTGTGATGTGCTATATGTGGATCACTGCAGTTTAAAAGCAGGTTTTTTTCAGACAAACAAGGATAAATTGAAACTTCGAATGGGCCACTAGAAGCGGGCTTGACTCTTGCAGACCTGAAGAGGTTATTCTTAGGGTAATTACCTGTCTTTAACATTTAGAATTATAGAATGGTTTGGGGTGGAAGGGACCCTAAAGATGATCTAGTTCCATTTAATATCAGATTTCTTTGATAGCGTGGACTGCACGAGAAGCTGCCTTTCCTTAAGTCACAGAGAAGCCACAGTTTTTACAGCTTTAAAGGATCCCACAGCTGCCTTGATTACCAATGCCTTGGCTCTGTACATTTAATTCAGCTCCTAATGCTTCTCATGTAGTGCTAAAGCCATTTAAAAGAAAGTCTCTGCTTTTACAACCCCGCTTTTTTTAGCAGCTCAGCAGCAGTTACCGGGTTTGTAAAGCTCCTTACGGAATCTCACCTGAAAACACTGATCTGCGGCACTGTGCAGTTTTTCCCACTTCAAAGGGAAATCTGCTGCTGCCACCCCAGAACTGAGCGCAGCGAGACACCGAACTGTCACTGGGGGCTGATGTCACCTCCCAAGGTGTGTTTGTTGTACCAGGGAGCCTTCTGAGCGCTAATGTCAGAAAAAACAAAACAAAACAACCACCTCTATTTGTCTTTTCGCCTTCTCTGTTTAGGGAGTTGTTTCACGTTGTCTCTTTTTGTTCAAAACAAATACCCAGGGCTCTCACGCAGATTCCCAGTGATGCTACAGCAGTTCCCAGTAGTCTCCCAGTTGCTAATGCTTGTAATTTTATAATGTTCATACTTTATTTTCCATTCGGGGTGCACAGTGACGGCAGGTGACTCAGTTTTCACCGAAGGCATGTGCAACCCCTTATGGTTAAAAATGGGTGAGAAATGGGGAGGGGGGAATCGTAAATATTTTTAGTCTTAATCAAGATCTTCAAGCTGTTTGCAATACTGCAATCCCAGTAGCATCAACATTGATATGTCTGAATAAAAGCTATGTGTTTTACAATGAAGGCAGCCTTCTAGCAGAAATTTTGAGCTGTGGAAAATCCTAAATATTATCCTTTTCTTTCCCTTGGTATTTCAGTTTTTGGGCTCCTGCCTCCCAGTCTCATCTATATTCTCAGCACCAAAGGGTTAAAAGTCCTGGCATTTCTTCCGAGTGGCATTTCCAAATCTCTCCCGGGGCCCATGCAGCGTTTATGCCAAAATGCTTTATTATTATACAAACAGAGCAAGAGGCGGAGAGAGAGGGGGGAAAAAAAATCAACCAAAAAAAAACCCCTTCACAGTTTGTCCTCCAGAACTGGGTCCTGCTGGTGGCGTGAGGGAAACCGCCCCAGCCGCAACCCTGAAAACCTCAGGGGGTGTTTAAAGAGAACGCCCGGGGATGTTTTAAGGAACACAGGGGTGGGTCGCACCCCAACCGCCTGTGGGGACCCCCGACATCCCTCCCCGGGCTCCGAAGGGGGGCCGCGCCCCCCCACACCCGAGTCTGACTCCGCCCCCCC